GACCCTCATTGCCTGCCGTGAACCCAGGCTCTGGGCAGTGAGAGCAGACCCCTAACCTCCGGCTTGCCAGGGGATTCCCATATATTCTTTTACATAACCTCAGGTTAGTTACCTTACCAGCTTCAGTAAATATTAGCATTAATGTAATACTTAACCTAGTGCTTGCTTGTGTTCCAATTTTAGAGTTGACCCAAATATGTCTTTTAGAGCATTTTTTCCTCTCCATTAAGCACCCAGCAGGCTAGGATCACATTGGTATTTAGTTGTCACGTGAAAGTCAGTGAATCTCCTCTCCTCAGCATTTCCAGAAGCTTCTGACAGCAGATGCACGGGCTTTTCTACTCAGCTCTCCAGCAGACCCCGACTGGGTGTCCGGCGACTTAATTCCAGTGCTACCTGCCTGTGATTAGTGCAGACCCCACAAGGTCAGGGGTCTGCACCCCCTTCAGACGCCAATCCCAAGTTCAGGTCATCACCTATGTTTCCCACTGGCCAGCTGTAAACTGGAGGTTCCTACTTCTGGGCTTTGATAACTTTGCAGAGTGGCTCACAGAACTCAGGAAAGCAGTCACTAGATTTCCGGTTTTTTATAAAAGGATACATGTCAGGAACAGCTGGTGGAGGAGAACCCTGGAGCAGGGTGGGGAGCACGGAGCGTCTCTGCATCCCCCAGAGAGCTACCTCCCAGCACCTCTCGGCTTCCCCTCACAGAGCCTCTCAGTTCAGGGTTTGATGGAGGCCTCTTAGGCACCGTGGTCAGATCATTGGCTGGTGGTGATTAGCTCAGCCTCCAGACCCTCTTCCCTCCCGAGGTGGGGGTTCCAACCCTCTTCTCTCTGTGTGCTTCCCCTGCCCGCTGTCCCCATCCTTGGGGCTTTGCAAAAGTCCATTCACAGAAATGCAGGTGCGGCTGGAACGGTCTTTATGAATAACAACAGACACTCCTTTCACCTTTATTGTTACCATCACTTGTGCAATTCCAGGAGTTTTAGGAGCACTTTGCTGAGAAAGGGGACAAAGACCAAATGTGTGTTTTTTATTGTAAATCACAGTGTCACTGCATGCCTCTTCAGTCTGCTCCGATGTGTACCAGCCCTCCTCCCCACCACCCTCCCTCTTTTTGTCTTTTATGATATTGATGTTTTGGTGGAGGAATGTTTTCAATTTTAAGACTAAACCTGTTAAAAGCTGGGAGAAAATACATTTTTGTCATCTTTTGATTCTATGGGAAAGACCTTTGCAAGCAGCCTTGAAGAAATGCCAGACATATATTCGGCTTTCTGAAAAATGTAAAATTCCTTAATCAAACCACAAGCCAACAAACAAACCCCAACAAATCTGGGAGGACAGACAGAAAAAGACCCACATCCTAGAAAAGCAGGCAGAGGGCCTGACTAGTTAGTACACAAAAGAATAAATACAAGTGGCCAGTAAATGGAAAACAATTCCAGGGGCATTCCGGTGAATGCAGATCAAAACAGTGGGGGACTTTGATTGATTTTCAGAAGATTGACTGAATGAGCAGATTCTCCACTGTTGGCCAGTGTGGGGGAAGGGGTCTGTCTCAGCGCTGATGTGGTGGACTGGTGCTGGCTTTACTGGGAGGATAAATTAGGGAACGTATATCAAAGCTTTAAATAGTGTTGACTGTGTATTATGAGTTCTGTAGCTGAATTAACTGTTGTAGATTTGTGCGTTGTAGTATAGAGGCATATCTCTTCAAGAAAATATACTTCGGGCTCATTGAAGTGCATCAATTGAAGTGCAAACCTTATTTGCATCAAAAGGTTTCTTTGGAGAAGATTGAGATTTTTTTTCTTCAGTAGTGAGTCTTTGGTTAAATATGAGTTCAGTAAGTAGTTTAGCATTTCAGTTAGAGTGAAGTGTATCTGGGTTTTGCATGACGTGGGGTGGACTTTGGCCTCGTTGGTGAATTTGTTTAATTCGCTTGTGCATGCTTGCATGCTCAGTCTCTTCAGTTGTGTCCGACTCTCTGCGACCCCATGGACTGTGGCCCGCCAGGCTCCTCTGTCCATGGGATCGTCCAGGCAAGAACACTGGAGTGGGTGGCCATGCCCTCCTCCAGGGGATCCTCCTGACCCAGGGAGCGTGCTCCGTAATGTCTCTGGCACTGGTGGGTGAGTTCTTCACCACTGATTCTGGGAAGCCCCTAATTCTGCTCATCAGCCCTAAGGAGCCATCTCTGGACTCAGTAGACGTGGGCCTGATGGGGAGAGTCTCCCTCCCTCCCGTGGCGACAGAGCAGTCTGGGGAAAGGCTTGAGGTCCCCGTGATTAGAGGTGAGAGTGGGGAAGAGTGTAGGGGGGTGCCCAGCTGTGTCTGGTGCAGTCACTGTGCCAGGGAAGGGCAGTGAGGCAGTCAGTGCTGGGCTCTTTGGCTGGAGGGGGCCACCATTCTGAGGATGACCTCAAGGACTGGTAATTCTGAGGTCAAGTGTGCGGGGACGGTGGTGCCCTGATTGTTGGGGTGGGGAGGTGATGAGGGGTGCGGGGATGATTGGGTTGGCCTGGGTTTAGCTGCTGATGTGGATTTGGTGAGAGAGAAGGCTGAGTGTAGGGTGCTCAGAGACCGCAAAGGAGCGTTGGTGAGAGGGACCCACAGCTGGAGAGTCTGAGAATGTCGCCAGGTCCGAGCACGCTCTGCGTGTTGCACAGTCGGCCAGTGAGTCCCAGAGATGAGGCCTTGAGGCAAGGACTCCTTTTATTAGGAAAGTTGGCTGACAGGAGAGCAGACTAATGTCTCAAAATAACCATTTATGGATTTTGATGGATTTGGATATGGATCCATATAAACTTATGGATCAGAGATGGGAGGGTAAGGAAACAAAGAGACCATTTGATTCTTGCAAGCCTCAGGCAGGAGGATGTATTAATTTCTTTAGGGTCATTCATAGGTGGCAGGTTCACGTTATCTCCCTGTGAGCTAAACTGGAGCTCTTTAGTTTAAGAGTCAGGCAGAGGGGGCAGGGTTCTCAGAGGCAGGCCATTATGTATGATTATAACAACAAAATTGGCAAAGACAGGAGTTCAGGTCTTAGCCTGGAGTCAAAATTAACCCTCTGGGCTACTAAGTACTGATGCCTTGTGGTAGGCTGTCCCCTTTCTCACCATAGGGAAGCTTCTCTTTTTTGGCGGCTTGTCCAGAGCAGCTTATCTTCTTTGGCGGGTGGTCTCCTCCCCCTGTTTTCATCTGATCTCCCCCCCTCCACCTCAACCCATTATTCATTCTAGAAGTTTAACCCTTTTCATGCAGCGTCATCTTTCTGCTTCCGTGTAGCTCCCCATCCCTGGCCCACCCTTCCCTTCTTTTCGGAGGAGGATCCCGACCATCTTCAGCTGTAAGGTCGCCCCCCTTGTCCAGCAGAGCCTTGCCTTCCTCCCTCTGGGAACCTGCTGTTTTGTTTCGTGTTCCTGCATCACCAGCTCTGGTTCTCTGTATCCTGGGTCACACAGAGCTTGAAGGAGAGATTATGGATTCCCTCCTGTGCAGAGTCAGAGGTAGAAAGATCTCCTCAGGTCTCCTGTCTTAAGCATTTAAATTTCCATCTAGCCTGCTCTTCATGATGTGCAGGAGGTGGTGCTAGTGGTGAAGAACCTCCTGTCAATGCAGGAGACTTGGGGTGCACGTTCGATCCCTTGGGTTGGGAAGATCCCTTGGAGGGGGGCAGGGCAACGCACTCCATATTCTTGCCTGGAGAATCTCATGGACTGAGGAGCTTGGCGGGCTACAGTCCGTAGGGTCGCAAAGAGTCGGACGTGACTGCAGCAACTTAGCATGCCCTTGAAAAAGGCGACCAAGGCCTACCTCTGCTCTTCTTGAGAAGTCATCTCAAGCACTCTAGGTCCAAGGACTTTCGGCCAGCACACCGACAGCTCCGCCTCAAAGGATTGCTCTTGCAGGGCTGCTGTCTGTCAGCAAGTGTAGTGATGATTCCTGGAGACACTCTGAGAGCTGGGCCGCGTCCCGGAGGTGCTCCTGGTGGGTTCTCGGACGAGTCACCTCCAGAGACCCTCACGACCCCGAGAGACTCTTGCGACCTCGAGAGGCCTTGAGAGACCCTTAAGAGTGAGAAGGACTTAAAGCGAATCAGCTAATCATCCAAAAAGCACATGTGTGCGTGCTTCAGGATTGGAGTCAGAGCTTTGTCTTTTCTTGCAGGCTGACACTGGAGGAAACAGTGTTCAGTCTCTTGAGCCTTAGTTTTCTCAACCATAGAACGGGGTTACTCAGACCTACCTCATGAGATGTTTTGAGGATAAAATGTGTTCACCTCGAAAAGTGGACTGGATTTGGGTAGAAGAGAGAACAGGGACATGGGAGAGGGGAGGATACGGATAGGTCACTTAACAATAGCGCACAGAATAGAGGAAGGGAAGGCGGTTTGGGGCGTGACCTTGGAGGATGCTGACTCTTGAACGCGAATTGGCCTTAGGTTTTTGCTGTCGAGACAGCTTTCCGTGCGTCTCAGGGCTTAGGAAAAGGGCTTCATTCAGATTTTACTGATACTTTTTTGGTCTTTCTTGCGATGTGATGTTCTTGGCCACCAGAACTGTTCATAGGACTTAGATGTAAACCCTTAGGGAGTCTGTTTTCTGGATCCTTCTGAACCCACAGTCCTCAGATCCTGGATCCAGGCTTCAGGACCACAGGGCCCTCTGGACCTGATGGGAGTTGGCTTCTATAGGGACAAAGCAGAATTTAACGTAAGTCAGTTTTGTAAGCAGATTTCAGTCTTGTAGTTCAGAAAAATTCCTCTGTTTACAAGGCCATCTGAAATATTGGTATTCTGGAAGGTTCCTGGGAGAGAATGTTCCAGACTGGGATCTTTGTGGCAGTCCGGTGGCTAAGACTCCATGCTTCCAATGCAGGGGGCGTGGGTTTGACCCCTGGCTGGGGACTGGACTCCACAGGTGGAGAAGTCTGGCCATAAGGAAGAGGTGAGCTGTGCTGACTCCCACTGCCCTCCTTTCTGTCTGCAGCTGCTCATGTGTCGCACCTGGAGAATGTGTCGGAGGAGGAGATGAACAGGCTGCTGGGGATCGTCTTGGATGTGGAGTATCTCTTCACCTGCGTCCACAGGGAAGAGGATGCTGACACCAAGCAGGTTTATTTCTACCTGTTCAAGGTGAGATGTCCACGCTTAGAAAGGCTTCCTTCTCCCTCTCTTTGTCCAGATGCAGCAGGTCACGGGAGGCTGGCCCTGGGTCTGCAGAGGCAAGTTTCTCCAGGGGAACTCTGCCGGGGGCACCGTGCCTGGAGCACATCCCTCTCCCTGAGCGCCTCCTACCTGTCGGCCGAGTGGAGTATCTTTATGCTTATGGATTTCTTCCCATCACACTTCTGTTCATCCCTCCATCCGTCCATTTGTCCATCCAAGTATGTGTCCAACTGTCCGTCTGTCCATCTGAGGAGGACTTAGTGCGCGCCTGCTCTGTGCGGGTGCTCGTGTGGGCGTGAAGCCTGGGTCCCTGGGCAGCGAAGTCCTTGCCTTCATGGAGTTTAGGTTTCAGTAGGAGAGGCGGAGACCGTCAGCAGGTCGGCAGTGCGCGCAGGTGGTGGTGAGCGTGCACCCCGAGCCGGCAGAGTGAGTGCCGTCCGCGTGGGAGGGCGCTCGCCGGCGGGGACGTGGTGCCAGGGACACGTGGCACTAACTTCCCAACTCAGTTAGGGAAGATGAGCTGACGGCTGCGCAGAGATGCCAGCGGGGGCCAGGGGCCGCCCCTGCAAAAGGCTGCGGAGGCGCCTTCTGGGCGGTGCGCGATCGCACAGCGTCAGACCCCACGGGGGGCCTGAAGCCCCCAGCCCAGCGCGGGGCCCCGGCGGCGGGGGAGGCGGGGGGCCTGGCTGGGTGGTGGCTGGACTCGGCCCCCCAAGCACAGGAGCGAGGGCTCCGGTCGGTGTGCGCCTCCCCGCTCCCGGCTCCCCGCTCGCAGCCTCGCTGACACCAGCCCCGCCACCCCTACCGCTGCCTCCTGGGGCGCGGCCTCAGCTCCAGAGGGTCCAGGCCCTTCCTTTCCGTAGATGTGGGTTGGTTTGCACTGACAGGGGGAGGGAAATGGTGGAGTTGGGGAGACCGGATAGAAGAAACTCAGGTCACCAAAAAAATAAGTTTTGCAAAGGTGGCTGACAGAAGGAATAAATTAAAAAAAAACCCAAACCGACGATTTGGGGCCCTGTAGACTGCGCTGTACTGTGTAGCCCTTACAAGGACCTAAAAACAAACACCGACCCTTCACCGGAGCTGACAGCCGGGAGGGGTCTGGGCCCCATTCTCTGTGACCAGGAGTTTCCTCTTTTGCTCTGGCTGCCAGGAAACTCAGGGCGAGTTTCCGACCCAGTCCTGTCGCTTTGGGTTGAGGTGGCAATACGTCATTGTTCCTTTTCTTCTGTTAGCTTTTGTCTTTGAATATAGTGCTGGGGATATTGGGGGTCGATAGAGGCAAGAATGGGAAAGACGGTTATATTTTTAAACATTGGAATCTTGTGGGGATTTTAACACCAAAAAGATAAGTAATGGGGGAGGGGTGAGAGCACAGCTGTTAGCAAGCGCCCGGCTCCTCCAGGTGACGGCTTGTTGACCTGAGCGTGGGCTGAGTCGTCTGGACTGAACCCCACCAGCTTCGTGCTGTTTAGAGCGTCTTTGGAAAAAGCTCTTAGTTGGAGAAAAACAACGTCTGCATGGCTGCAACTGTTATTTGTCTTGGAACCCAGATCCCTGGCGGTGGTTCCCCAGCGCCCTGCTGGAAGGAAAGGCTTCCATCCTGCTGACCTCCGCTCAGTTCTGTTCAGAACCACCTGAGAGGCCAGAAAACATCACTCTGCCTTTCTTCCCTCTCTCATCTTTAACAGTGCACATATGTTTGCTCCTGAGAACAAGATCCAAAATACTCAGCATTCTCCCCTCCCCTCCCCTAGAGTCATTCTTCGGACAAGTGTGTCATGAATCATCCATTTCTTCTTCGCTTTGGAAAACCAGTTCTGTGTCTTCTGTGTCTCTAAAAGTGATTAACACACACTTGCACATTTTAGTGCATTTTGGAAACTTTTGCCTTAGATGTTGAAGATGAACTTGGTGGAAAGCTCCTTGTTGAAGCTGGCTTCACCCTGGAGCCCGTCGGCCTGGTGCCGGAGCACAGCTGGCTGCTCCCAGGCCTGGCTTCATCCCTTTGTGACCTCAGCCAGGGTGTGCAGCTCCGCTTCCTTATCTGTCAAGTGTAGACTGTGATGCGTGTGTGGCTGAGTCCCTTGCTGTTCGCCTGAAACTACCACAACATTGTTAATCAGCTGTACCCCAGGACAAAATGTTTTTGGTGTTTAAAAAAAAATTAAAAGTGTAGACCATGATATGATAGCACTTTCCTCAAAAGGCTGTGAGGAGGATTCATGAGATAGTACAGATAGAACTACAGAGAGTGCTTGGCAAGTAAGGGGCAATTGCCACTACTGCTGTTAACATTTTTATGTTGAATATTTGCCTGTTTATCCCAGCTCCATCCTGGTTTAGACAAGGAAGCTAAGAGTCAGCAGCTCCCCTATTTATCCATCTTCCTCCAAATTGAAACCCCCAATGGATCAAGTTTCCAAATGATCCATTGGGCAAAATGGGCAAAAAAAATGGGCAGCCCGAATTATTTGTATCTAAATGTGATGATCAGTCTTTGCATATCCTTAGAAACATGTAACGACTTATCATTATGACCCCTTTATTTTTGTGAAGGTGGGTATGATACTCTGAAAGGATCAGCAAGTGCTCAGTGTGAGTAGTTGATATAGCACCTCTAGAAGAACTGAGGTCTTTGTCAGACCCAGCCCCGGGGGGGATGACACAGGGTGATCTTCCACCTGGGGGGGGGGGGGTGTCATCTGTTTCCACTAACTCCTGGGGGAGAGTTTGCCATGTTTTGTTTCTGTTGAAAAAGCAATCAATGGAGAAAGGAGGAAAGATGTAAATAAATGTGTAATAAGTAAATAATACGTGGGTGAGTGAATAAACGAATGATTGCATATATGTCATAACTGGCCTGTGTGAAGGGTTATGGAAGGTTCACGCAAAGGTTGAAGGTAAAGAAGTTCAGTATCAAATGTGTTTTTCAAGTTGGGGCTTGATGACTGGCTCTGTTCTTTTCTCCCTCTGGTGTTTGCTCTTTGAGGATCTGGAATTCCGGTGGCGGGATTCAGAGCGGCGTTTTGTTCTGTGGGCTCGGCGATGCCAGGACCCTTGCTCTGCACTTTGCACTCTGCGCGTGGAGAGGGAGTGGGGACAAGCCCCCGACCATGCGCGGCGGCCCCTCGAGGCCAGGACCGTGCCTGTGACCGAGACTGCGACACGCGGCTCCTGCATGCGGAGAGGGCCACGGCCTTTTCCGGGTTTAGAGCAGGCCCCCCAGGGCATGAGCACCCTTGCCTGGCCTGGGGGCGTGTGCAGAGGGCGCTCCAGGCCTCGGGGTCAGCGGAAACCAGGAGCGGGGCGGTGGGGGGGGTGAGCAGGAGAGGTTTGGGGGGCAGGGGGGCTCGCTGGTGGTCTCCCATCTGTCGATGTGAGGCTTCACTGACCCGTAACTGGATGGCATCACTGACTCAGTGGACATGAATTTGAGCAAATTCTGGGAGATGGCAGAGGACGGGGAAGCCTGGTGTGCTGCTGTCTGTGGGGTTGCGCAGAGGCAGACCTGACTTGGAGACAACAGCACATGTAATTAAGATAAATGGAATATGGTGACTTCCCTTCCAAAGGCTCTGTGTGAGGCATGGAGTGTTTTAGAGAAAAACCTCAGCTTCCATGTCTCAGAGGAAGATTTTAAAATGAAGACTAAATTTGGTGCTCTCATGTTTTACTTTTGATTCACATCTTGATTGATTAAACGCCTTATGGAGAAAACAGCTCCAAGGTCTCAGGGGTCCTCTGACCACCTGCTGGGGCAGCCTCATGGACCCTCGAGCTCCTCGAGGGCTGGCATCACCCCTCACCTTCCTCAGACGCCTTTCCTCCTGGTCATGTCCCACACTCTTCCTCCCTTCCACACTCAGAGCACCCTTTCTCGGCTGTGACGTCTTCCCTCAGTACCAGATTTCTGAGCTCTCATCTCTGAGCTTAGACAGCACTTGCAACTTATTTGGAATATTTCTGCTGCCAGCTTGAATTTTTTGTTTGTTTTCTTCCTTTTGTATTTGGGAGACGGCATGGTGTGACCCGGTCCAGCTCTGTTATGTGGCCTTTTTGCCCCTAACAAGAGTGTAAGCTTGGAGACACCAGTGTGTGTGTGTGTGTGTGTGTGTGTGTGTGTGAGAGAGAGAGAGACACTGATTTTTTAAAAATGATCTCTTACAGCTCTTGAGGAAGTCTATTTTACAAAGAGGAAAACCGGTGGTTGAAGGCTCTTTGGAGAAGAAGCCCCCTTTTGAAAAACCTAGTATTGAACAGGTAAAAAAAAAAATATGAGAAGCCCCGTTTTTTAAAATTGCTTTAAGGCTGAACTAACCTCATCTTCATGTTCATAGTTGGCTTAGAGATGTTCAAGTCTGTAGGAATAGTCTCAAGCCCTTTGGATCAGAAGTGAATACTCCATGTAGTAAATGATTTAGCTTTTGTCTGTTAGGTTGCTGAATGCTCAGAATTCACTGTGTGTTTGGAAAAGAAAAAAAAATTAAGTAGAACATGTAGTTCATCAGAACACATGAAATGGGCTTTTTCTTGGTGTTGATGTTTTAAAATTAAGTCTTTGTCCCTGTGTTTGGCACTGTTGAAAAGTCTATTGAGGTGAGGGAATTCAGGAGCAATGTGAAAAACATTGTAAGTCAAGCAAAAAGCACAGAAAAGAAATGAGATTTTTGTATCCAGAAGTTGGCTTCCTGCCACATTATGATTCTGCAGAGAAGCCTAGATCCACTTGGGGCATCTGTTAATATGTACAGACCTTTCCTGTTAGGTGTTGTCATGATCTGTCATCAGTATCAATTTTTTAGCCTCTCATTATTTTCATAAGTAAATGTCAGACACTCTGGACTGAGTTTCCTGATGAGAGTAGTTACAGAGGCATGATATGAGATACAAATAAGTGTATTTTATCAGTCAGTTTTTAGTAGAAGAAATGTCTTCAAACCCTACAAAATAAAATTTCATTGTTACTTTATTTGAAGTTACATTAGATGAGAGTGTTCTGAAGACAGATTAAATTAATCCACAGATTTTTTTCAAAAGCTCATAATTTTGAGTAAGAATTTTTTTTTTGGGTAAGTTTACTAAAAACTGAAAGAATGATAGTAAAGAGTTTAAATTCTTGTGGTTTAATTCATTGCAAGGCCTTGCTAGCAGAGTTTTGATTAAAATTTTGTGAATGTAAAAACATTTATCCAAGAATCTCATTATATGTGAGCTCCTGTTTTGATTGTACAGCAAGAGTTATTCTGCGAAATAGCCATATTTTATTGTTTGGGGGGTTTTGACCTTTTCAGTCCACTGTTTTGCTTTTTTCTTCGTCGCTTCATGATTGCAGCAGGCAGAGAATTGCAGCTCCCAGTTTCTGTGTCTTGTCACTTTTCATAGGCTGTGATCTGAGGCATGATTCCCTCTGGGCATATTCCTGTTTTCTAATAGGGAAAAAAGAGGTTTTTGTGACTAGAGAACTGTCTGTTCTTTTGCTAATAACCACCACTGGTGCTGCCTGGGTGGGCATTCAGGATTGCAGAGCTGCATGAATAAATTGCCTTCCCTCCTTTTAAGGGTGTGAATAACTTTGTACAGTACAAATTCAGTCACCTGCCACCCAAAGAAAGGCAAACGATCGTTGAACTGGCAAAAATGTTCCTGAACCGCATCAACTATTGGCATCTGGAGGCACCATCTCAGCGAAGACTGCGCTCTCCCAACGACGACATCTCTGGGTACAAGGAGAACTACACCAGGTGAGCGGGCTGGCTCCTCCCCTCTGGCCTTGAGATTCTGAGTGTGAAGAATCGGATCAGTTGGAGCTGAACTACTTAGTACAATCGCTGCTCACCACACGAGGTCACTGAGCCCTGGAAGTGTGGCTGGCCTAAATCGAGATTTCCAAGATTGTGCAAAAAAAGAATGTGAAGTATTTCATTAATCATTTTTTATATTGATTACCTGTTGAAATGGTAACATTTTGGATATATTGAATTAAGTAATATATTAAAGTTAATTTCACCTGTTGCTATTTACTTTTCTAATGTGACTGCTGGGAAATTTAAAATTACATATGTGGCTTGCATTGTATTTCTATTGAGCACTGCTGACCTAGATAACTATATTATGACTCTGTAATTATATAGAGAACTTACTCTTAAAAAAAAATGTAATGCCCAAGAATATCGATTCAGGTCAGTCACTCAGTCGTGTCCAACTCTTTGAGACCCCACGGACTGCAGCACGCCAGGCCTCCCTGTCCTTCACCAACTCCCGGAGCTTGCTCAGACTCATGTCCATTGAGTTGGTGATGCCATCCAACCATCTCATCCTCTGTCGCCCCCTTCTCCCCTGCCTTCATTCTTTCCTAGCATCAGGATCTTTTCTAGTGAGTCAGTTCTTCACATCAGGTGGCCAAAGTGTACTGAAGTTTCACCTTCACCATCAGTCTTTCCAGTGAACACCTAGGACTGATCGCCTCTAGGATGGACTGGTTGGATCTCCTTGCAGTCCAAGGACTCTCAAGAGTCTTCTCCAAAGAAGGGAAGACCATCATAGTCTCAGCACTGTGGTGTAAATAGAATAGTGTTATATATGTGGCCTTACAGCCTTTGTCTCTTTAAATACACATTTTACATTTGTTAGAATGAAAGAAAAGAGAGCATTTGCATCTTCTGTGTCCACCCTGCCCCATTTAAACATTTTACTGGTTACATTATTGTCTGTTGATGCACAGTGATTTACCTAATCTTTTCTCTGTTGGTGGGCATCAAACTCTGCACATATTCTTGGATTACATTTTTTCTAAAATGGGAATTTATTTTTATTACCTATGATTTGCAGGATAATAAAATTGAGTTTATGATTTAAGAGTCATAAATGTGGACCATACAAAATAGTGTGACATATTCATCTTTAAGGAAGAGACTGACTTGTACCATCCATTTTATTCACCTTTTTATAACTTTTCCCATTTGTATTTAATAGGCATATCAAGCTTGCTTCAGGGTTTTTTGTTTTTAGCCTTTTTTTCCTCTTGAGTTAAAATAAGCAATGTTTTTTTGACAACCTGTAAAGACCACTTGTACCCAGGTTTAACCGCAGATGACAAGTAGAAATGGGTGGAGTTAAAGCTAAACTTTCCTGTCTAATCACTGACCTGATTTTATGAGTAACATCCAAGTTTTTGCCTCTCATCCAGCCTTTTACAATATATACAATTTGAATTATAAAATATTTTATCTTAATAAGTGTAAATAGGATTTACAGATTGCTTCATAATCCACTTTAAAAATGATACCTTTATTTTTACATCTTCATTTCAGAGTAGTTCCTATATTATTGTAACCCTTGTTTATAATGAGTTGAAATAGTAGAACTCTCTCTCTCTCTCTCTCTCTCTCTCTATATATATATATATATATATATATAGTTTAACAAGTTTTGTTTTACTTTATTTGTTGTGTGAACAGTAAGGCATGGTGGATCTTAATTTCCTGACCAGGGAGCAGACCTGAGCCCCACTGCGGTGGGAGAGCAGGGACCTAACCACTGGGCCAGTGGGGAAGGCCCGTATCTTTTAACTCCATCTGTGAACAGTTGACAAAACTGAGTATTTGTCAAAGCCAAACCCCTGGAATATTTGCCACTCTAAGAGAGGAAAGACTGTGTAATCAAGGAGGGGAATTCATTGTGAGCGGCACAGGAGTTAATGCTGTGTTTTAGACAACAGTAACAATAGTGTGTAGCACGTGGGAATCACCAATACTGGGCAGCACTCGCAAACCCTTGGGGAGTCAGTCGTAAACGTGACGCCTCCTTGTGGGAGGAGTGGTGGGCTTGAACCACGGCCCGCCCCCGTCCCCGCCCCGCACCCTGGGGAGATGCTCAGATGCCCCTTGGTGCTTTTCCTCGGAGCCTCAGTCACCGCCAACCAGCGTGCGTTGGGAGAGGAGAGCTTAGGCTCTGGGGTCACTGAAGGAAGGGCGGTGACGGCCCAGAGCCCAGCAGGGTCCGGGGCCAGCCTCCCTGGGGGCAGAGGGTGCCTCGAGGGGAGCGGCCTGCGCTGGAGGCAGTGACCTGCTGAGCCCTGGATGGGCGAGCCCCGCAGCCTCAGTGGGTGGTAATAATAGGGGAGCTCCTCCTCCAACCAGGCCTGCCGATGAAGAGCAGAGAAGGCCAACCCGTGAACGCTGAGAGATGCTTGCCTCGCATAGAGTCAGACCTCACGGTCCTGACTGCTTGAGAACCAAGGAAAGCTCACACCGCCCTCCTCACTGATGCTACTTCTCAAACGCAGCACTGTTAACCCTGCGGGCACCGCGGCCCGTGGGGATGGCGGGAGCCGGGGCTGTGGACTGTTGGCTCAGCGTGCCTGCGCAGTCTGGTCCTTTGGGAAGATTCTGGAATCACAGCACGGAGGTGGCAGAGACAGGATCCTCGGGGAACAGGACTGACTCCGAAAGTGATTGTGTTCCTTCCTTATTACGAGAGGACTTATCCCATGAAAGAGTAAGCGCTTGCTGAACAGCAGGACTGCTTACATTACTTATACTCTATGTTCTGAAGTGGGCAAGATTTAAGTATTTTATATGTTGAAAAATCTGATATATTAATGTTAACATATACTTAACCTTAATAATATACATGAGTTTATATTAAATATACCTTTTATGTCCCCCAGAAGTCACTGTGGTTTTAGAGACAGACCTAGACAAATATTTTGAAATTTCCTGAATTTTCTGATGGTGTGCCAATGTAATATTCCATGAGAAAATAGCTGGAAAAGTGTCAGAGGAATATGACTTCTTAAAATACATCTGACCAACAGAATATGCTAAAGTCAAAGTGTAAGTTGCTCAGTCGTGTCTGACTCTTTGTGACCCCATGGACTGTAGCCTACCTGGCTCCTCTGTCCATGGGATTTCCCAGGCAAGAATACTGGGGTGGGTAGCCATTTCCTTCTCCTGGGGATCTTCCCGACCCAGGGATCAAATCCGGGTCCTCTGCATTGCAGGCAGATTCTCTACCACTCTGAACCCCCAGGGATGCCCATGCTAAAGGAACGTGGCAAATTCTTAGTTTTAGATTCTGAACTGTGCAGAACATCTCAAAATTAGAAGTTACGCTTATCTTGGGGAGATGTTTTGTAAGAATGCAAGCAAATGAGATATAACTAAATTAATTCTGGTGAAAGTTTCCTGTAACTGTTGCACTGTGAGGTATAGACCCATTGCCAGGCTTCCTGAATGTTCATAATTAGGCGTGTCATCCCAGGATGGTATTTCTCACGGATTGGGGGAGGAACAGTGGGATGGGGCTTTACAGACCCAGCTTCTAGTCTGGACTCTGAAAGTAACTAGCCTTTAGTGCAGGAAGACCTGGAGGGTCATTTAGTTCCTGAGAGCTTTAGGACTTTCTGTCCAGCAGGCGGTAGGTGACGTGGCCTTCACCACTCAAGTCCTCCAGCTCTACTCACGTTCTATTTTTTATTTTTTTCCATTTATTTTTATTAGTTGGAGGCTAATTACTTCACAACATTGCAGTGGTTTTTGTCATACACTGAAATGAATTAGCCATGGATTTACATGTGTTCCCCATCCCGATCCCCCCTCCCACCTCCCTCTCCACCCGATCCCTCTGGGTCTTCCCAGTGCACCAGGCCCGAGCACTTGTCTCATGCATCCA